GACGGGCAGCGTCCTGGTGCCGGGCGAGGAGTTCGCCGTGAGCGAGGAGCTCCTGGGCGCGGGCGGGGTTTTGTACCTGAGGCTGTCCGACGGCCGGGGCTGGGCGTTCGACCGCAAGCCCGGCGTGGGCAGCACGTGCTCGAGGAGTCAGAGTGAGAAGAGGCCGTGATAGCGGTGCGTTCCAGGATTGCCTAGAGCGTCTCGCTGCTGCATGCAGCTGGCACGCGGGTTAGGAACAACCCTGGCTTTGGAAGGTTACCCTTATGTTCTTTGTGCTTGGCCCCTCCACCTTGGAGTGGTCTCTGTTTCGGGTGTCCCCATGGAGCCTTGAGCCCCTGGCTACAGGGCTCACGTTCTTAACCCTCTTTCCTTTGGCCATGCCGCGACTGTGGTCCAAAACTCTTGGACCGTGCCCAGATCCAAGTGGTAAGGCTTCGGGTTGCGCACAGACCGTCCGTCCAGGTAGTCAGCCGGCTTCATCAAAGCCAGCCCCAGACAGCGGCGGCCCCCGAAGCTCTGGACTTCTTCCCCAAAGCCCTTCATCCTGCGTCGCTCTTGACGGGTCCCGGGGCAAAGCGAGGGCCCTCAGAGGTCGAGAGCTGAAACAATCCTCCGCCTTGAGTTAACCAGCCTCGAACTCATCCCTATCTTTAGGATTGACACGCCCAAAGGCGATGACAATCTTAGGGTTACACTCCCAGAAACTGAGGGAATCCCTAAGATCGCCATCGTGACGAGGCGATGCCCAACATAGGGATAGGGATAGGATCCAGGCTGGTAATGAGTCTCTCGAGACGCTGGCGGTCCAGGACCGCACCGCGATCCCGACCTCCTCGCCTCGCGGGGAAGCCGGGCCTCTCTGTGCAGCCCCGCCCCGCCAGAGTCAGCCGCACCGTGACCTCGGCCCCCGTCCCGTGGGCGGGAGACACATCCGTAGTCTTAAGTCGGGCCTGTCCCCCTACAGGGGGATTTTCGACGACAAATAAAAGATACCCCCAAAATAGTCAAAAAGTACGTAAAAAATAGTCTGGGGATTATTTTTTGGGGTAGTATTTGACCTTTGGGGGGCATTTTGGGGGTACGTTTCATTTTGCGTGGAAAATCCCCCTGGTAGGGGGACAGGCCCGACTTCACACCTGACCCCACCTTCCCGAGTCGTGTTGCGAGCCAGCTCGAGCCGTGAGGGTGCCAGGGCCCGAGTCTGGGCGGCGGAAGAGCGCGCGCTGTGAGAGGCCTGCCACGCCCGTGCCTCTGAGGGCAAGTCGGGCGTGTCCCTCTGCAGGGCATCCCCTATCCCTATGCTGGGCATCTCATCATCACGATGTCCCTATGCTGGGCATCTCATCATCATCCCAGCATCTCATCTCATCATCACGATATCCCTATGCTGCTTACCAGCCTGGAACATATCCCCATCCCTATGCTGGGCATCTCATCATCACGATGCCAATCTTAGGGATTCCCTTATTTTTTGAGGCCGCATCCCTGAGATTGTCATCGCCTTTTGGCGTGTCAATCTTAGGGATAAGGGATAAGTTCGAGGCTGGTAATCTGCAGGGGAGATATCCAAGAAGAGTCAACAAAAATAGTCTGGCGACGATTTGTTTGACCACTTTTGAGCACTTTGGGGGGCATCTTTTGAGTATTTGTTTTTTTTTCCGCCCGTGCCTCTGAGGGTAAGTCGGGCGTGTCCCTCTGCAGGGGGGGGGGAGTATCCAAGAATAGTCAAAAAATAGTCTGGCGACGAGTTATTGACAATTTTTTTGAGCACTCGGGGAGCATTTTTTGGGAGTATATTTCAACTTTTTCGCCCCAAATATCCCCCTGCAGGGGGACACGCCCGACTTAGATCTCAGGGTCTGTTCGCCGCTTTGTGAGCCTCCGCGAGGAAGCCCGGCCTCTCCGCCAGATCCGCCGCGCCCACCGCGCCGGGGAGCCTCCAGGCCTCGGCGTTCCACAACGGAGGAGGAGGAGGAGGAGGAGGAGGAGGAGGAGGAGGGAGGAGGAGGAGGAGGAGCCCCCAGACATCCTCACAGTCTCGACCCCTTCGTCCCAGGGGCAGCCAAGGGCGCCCTCGCGGGCGCGGAGCTATTCGCGCTTCGCGCTTCGGCTCCGATGCCTTCTCTTCCTCCTCTTCTCCCCTGGGAGGCGGCGCGAGGGCGCGAAGTCATTCGCACCTCGCGCTCTCGCGCAGCGCGAAGCGCGAAGCTGGGAGCCCTCGGGTAGCTCTTCGTCCCAGATCCGGTTTGTTTGTTTGGGGAGCCTGGCCACGGCCCCCGGAGGCCGAGGTGGAAGCGACGCGCCAGGACGGCACAGATCAAGCCGCGGGACGCATGGATCCTCCGGGGCCGTCCCAGACATGTGACGTCTCGCTTTCCATGGCAAAACTATCGAAGCCCAAGACACCCAGGGCACCCTGGAGGCTAGCATGATGTTTCGCTGCATGAGCCCCGACCCTACCCGAAAGGTGGGAGCTCCTGGCTGACCCCCGTTTTCTTTGACCCCGTCTCTTGAGCCCCGACCCTAGCCCAGACATGCGACGTCCTGATTTTTCAGCACGGCGTCCCCAGAAGTCCAGACTTAAGTCGGGCCTGTCCCTCTACAGGGGGGAAATTCAAAAATAGTCAAAAATAGTCTGGGGACTATGTTTTGAATATTTTTGACCATTTTGGAGTATTTTTCAATACAGTCGACCCGCAGAGTAAGGATAGGCATCCTCCCAAGGGTACCCTTGCATCCTTGCCTCCTGGGTGCATCCTTGCCTTGGCCACGTTCGTTGGCCGCGCCCCGCTCGAAACGCTTTGAGATGGGCGTCCAAGGGCCTTGCATCCTTATCGCGCATCCTTACTCTGCGGGTTGACTGTACGGCGTCCCTGGAAGTCCAGAGCCTTTCCCCAGGGCGGGGGCTTTTCATCTCGAGCCATTTTGTTGACGCTCCTGGGGACCGGCGAGGCCCCCTGGGGCCGCAAAATCGCGGACAGAAACGGCCGCCCTGCTTTTTTGCTTTTGTTTAAGACGCGATCGGGCCCGGGATCCGATATCAGAGCTCCCCGCGCCGCCCCTGCCTGGTGTTGCCCCTGCCCCGGCTTCGCTTCTCGGGCCGAACGAAAGGGGGGCGATAGGGCAAGGGTGGGTACGAAATCTGCTGCACGCAGCCGGTTTCGGCCCCGCCGCCGGGCCCACTCCTCGATGTACATATGGGAGCCTCCCGGCGCCGGGAGGCGCCAGGAAAACCAGCTATACGCGAGCTGCTTCTCAGACCTCCCCATTGCTGTCCCCCCCCCTTTCGCCCCGCCCGAGCTTCCCACCCAGAGATCCGACGTCGTGATTTGTTCAATACGGGGTACCCAGAAGCCTCGACCCATTCCCCAGCACTGGTTTTTCATCCCGAGCCGATGTTTGACGCTCCCGAGGCCCGGCGAGGGCCCCAGGGGCCGAAATCTGCGGGAAACCTCCCAGACCCCCGACGTCATGATTTTTTCGCAACGTCGACCCCCAGACGTCTGGACCCTTTCCCCGGGACCGGTTTTCCATTCTGAGCTGTTTTTTCACGGTCCCGAGGCCCGGTGAGGAGCTCCAGAGGGCGAAAACAGCGAAAAACCTTCCGTCGTGTTTTTTTCACGACGCGATGGGGTCTGGGCTCCGCCCCGATTTTTTCAAGGCGTCGGATCTCCGGGCCGCGTCCGCCCGGCCCGCGCCTCGCGCGTCGAGGCCCCCGCCGGCGCCGCTGGCGGGGCGCTTACGCCCGGCGCCCCCGCGCCGCCCGCGCGGCTGCTGACGCAGTGGATCTACAGTCCGGACATCCATGGCTCGGAGGGGGGCCGAGGCGCGGCGGCCCTCGCCCGCGGGCCGCGGCGGGGTCTCGCCCTCCTCCTCCTCCTCCTCCTCCTCCTCCTCCTCCTCCTCCTCC